AAAAATATTCTTCATCCTTCATCCTTCTTCTAATTTTCTAATAATCTAATTTTGTCCTTCGATAAATTACGAACGGATGCGCGATGAAAAGGGGAATTTCAACGGTTTCGCATGGAACATGTCAAAAGAAGGGTTGCTTTTACCGGGAAGACCGATCGAGAACGTTCTCCGACTGGTCACATGACGCTGTTCAAGTAATCGACTGATTAAACTGCCCACCCTTACCCTCCAGCATACGCTCTCTCGTTCTGCCAGAGGCATTAGGTTACTGATAACTGGTAGCCGAGCTTAAGGGATGAGCCGCCAGTTGGTAATTTCGTGGACGCCTGTAAAGTGCCGGTGGATCGACGTTTATACGAATCGTTTGGGAATATTGTTGATCGTTTTGTGGGATGAATGATGTTACGATAATAAATACGTAGAGGGTGCGGTAGGGAAGAGTGATGAAATGCTGTTTATTATTCTTTCTCATAAATGGAGAGTAAACTTGGAAATAACGAGAGTTAAGTTTGTTCCATATGTTTGTTATGTGTCGTATGACATAATAATTATACAACTATGTAATAGTATAATATTACATTGCACGATATACAATTAATAATATATAACAACAGTAATATAATTATATTATAATATATTAATTTCATTTAATTTTACTTGTTTGTTTTCATTTTTCTTCATCTGCAATTCTGGTTATACTGAAAAATTAAAGAAAATCAATTTTCTACGAATCTTTTCTCTCTGAAATTTAAATTGAAATACCAAAGATTGTAATCTTCTGGACTATTAGAATTTATTACAATGAAATATATTTTACATTCTGATGGACGTTAAATTAATTAAGAAAAGAGTAAAAGCTCCAGAATTAAGTAAAATTATTAAAATTATGCCTCAGTCCGAAATGATATCTTCAACCCTCTCTTATACAAATTCTCCAAAATATATTCACAAAATATGTTGTCAATCCTTCGTGAAGGATAATTTCACACGACAAGAGAAATCAAAACAAAACTGTTTTCGATTCCTACGCGTTATTAACCACGGATTTGAACGCGAGCCTCCATTAAGACGCGACTCGAAAGGGTTAAACCATATGGCACGCGAACCGACCGCACGATCCTAACGTTTTCTCCGTTTAATCATATCGCACGCACCGCGTGCCGCTTCCTTTACGATTGTGTACGGTACCACGGTTTGTGCGTGCACGGTTTTCGCCGAATGACAATGTTTTCCTCCAGTATGCTCGCGTGTCACGTCGAGTAACACGCGCGACAACCGACCGGCGCGTCTGTGTAATCGCGATTGAGACACGGTGAACGTTGCTTCTCGAGCTTATGCGCTGGTCGATGGCGGCGCGTGACGAGGTGGAATCGCGAGGAAATTGTTGCCTTTTTTCTAAACTGGATAACCAGTTCTCTAGACTCAAAGATTCCCAAAGTGTGAGTCGTCAGTTGATCTTTCGATCGATCAAAAGTGGTTCACAATTCTCGTGGGGAGGATTGGAAAATCTTTCTGCTGTTACTAAACTTTATACCAGAATTTATAGTTGATGCATTAATAACAACGTAAACTTGTGCCAAAGAGTAAATAAATACTTCAAAGGGTAAGAAATTTGTTTCTCGTTTCTTCTGGAACGCGTCTCTTGCGCTGGAATCACGTCGAGAATTTTTCGTCCCAAAATTGCAATGCTTCCTCAGTTTTAAGTATATTTAAGTATATACCCCAGGCGAAACAAATAATAAATTTATTAATAATTTCTCAGTAATTTCTATCCAGTGATGTCGTCACCGACGAGTTCAAAAAGAAAAAAGAAAGCGACGAATTATTGTATACGGTTTGGTCACTCGTTATGGTCCGCAATCGTGTTGCCAGGGCAAACGGTTAAAAGTGAACCACGATAGTTATTATTTATAACTGTTCCCTTTCAATGACACATCATAAAAGAGATTAAATCGCGAAAGAAAGTGAATATCGATCGATAAAAGTTTGGGAACCACTGCTCCAGATACTTTCTTTTGCGCGTGTTTGTCGCTAAGTGTCCCGATGTCCAGCCATTTTATTCCTCGCATGGATGATCGGTGATTTCGATGATTATCGTCCGCGGTTTACTTACGATTTACGATTGACGGGGGAACGCTAGTATTTAGGTTGCGAAACATTCTCCAGAGACGTGATTGCTTCAGGTATTAATAACGACTGAGAGTTCCATCGATATAATATGGTTAAACGTTTTCATGTGCTTTCCAGGCCATTGATTTTATAATAGACACGGCGGAGACACGCTTATGGAAATTTCAAACCAGCGTTAGAGAGAGTGTTACAAACATCTTTGACGAGAAATTTTCTTTAAACTCATTTATGAGCAAGTTTCTTTTATGTTCTGACTCGTTCGATACATTCCTTTGATAGTGTTTATACATTCCCTTGATAGCGTTACATTCTCGTTATATTATACAAATTATCTAGACACGCGTATGAGCATTTTCTTCATCAACGCAGTGATAGAATCTTTCCAAAGAACGTCGTAGATCATCTCTCTCGTATTTAGAACGTATATCAGAGTAATTACCCGATGAAAATAATACCTTCTCTGCCAGCATTTATACACGTATTATTTTGTTATTTTAATTAATTACGCGAGCTATTCGAACGTTCATACTCCAGCATCTGCCAGAGAAGATCTCAATCTCGAAACTCTCTGTACGTCGTTTATCAATCCTATCAAGACTTTGGAACTGGTTCAGTGTCGCAGCGAGTCACGTATGTATCACGCCAAAAGCGTCTCATCGGCCTTCCCTGTCTTGTTAACCCCCGAGAGTTTACCCCCTTCTTCGGAAACTAAACCGGGATCCCTTCTGCTCACGTTAGGTTCACTCGCGGCGTCTGCTCGCATTTGTCTGCATCTACTTGCGATTCTCTTCGCGTATCCTCGCGCCTCGATCCTCCTGTCTCTCTCTCTCTCTCTCTCTCTTTCTCTCTCATTCGCACTTGCTCGCCTCACCTCGTTTATTTTCGCATTTTTTATTCGTATTTAATTATTTCTCCTCGCGCGTGTGTTGCATCTATGTGCAACGTGCACGAGTTACGCCAGTAGTTACTTCTCCTCGCGTTCGTTCACGCAGATCTCAGTCATTTCTCATCGCATTCGTTCTTACGTCCCGCCTTATCCTACTTTACTCCGTGTATCTACATGTTCGCAGCTGGTCGCGCCTGTTTGCATCTATTTCATTTTCCCTCGTCTACCTTTTTTATACATCTCTCTTCGCGTGTATACTCGTGCCTTTACAATTGTCTTTCCTCGCATTTATTCTCCTCTACGTTACATTTCCCTGGAATTTTGCCTGCATCTACTCGCGTTTGACACTGGAACTACCAAAATGGTCAAAATGACCGTTTTGAATATTTTTGTTTAAATATTTTATAGATACAAAACAGTATATTTTTGGAGACTTGGTCGATCCTTCATAAAATACATAAATAAAAGCTTGTGTACTCTGCTGTACTATAAAGATTTTCTGTTTTCTTCTTTTTCCATTTATTCTAACGTCTCTGATGGAAATTTCATGCTTTGGTCGTCGGTGACTCTCTTCAATCGACTTTCTTCGCATTCGTACGCGTCTACTCGTCCATCTTTGCGTTCATTCGTTGCGTTTATTCTATTGCCACTTTTCTCAACATCCACTCCTATCTACAGCCCTTTCGCATCTAATCGCCCCTCCTCGCGTTTACCACGCATCTCGCTCGTCCTCCTCTACATCCACACTCGCGTCGACTCGCACTCGCCCCCTTTTTCTTTACATCTACACGCGTCTAACCGCCTCTGCCCGCTTCTCTTCTCATTTACTTGCTTGCTCGCACCACCTCTGGCGGCGTCGAAAGACATCCCTAACGATCGAGCGCAGCCCTTGACGCCGACCATCCACCCTTCTTTCTATCTCTCTCTCTCTCTCTCTCTCTCTCTCTCTCTCTCTCTCTCTCTCTCTCTCTCTCTGTCTCTCCTCTCTGCTGCGCTCATTATCTCTCCGAGTGCGCTTCAACTGTTAGCGCACGTGCATCGGCGTGCTGCACATGCAGCAGCGGGGAACGCGACGACGCGATCGTCGACGGCGACGTGTCCCTCCCGCGCGTGTTCTCTTTCTCTCTCTCTCTCTCTCTCTCGCTCTCTCCGCGAGCCGTGTATTGATTGAGGTGGTGAATGCACGACGTCGGCGTCGGCGTCGTCGGCCTTCCGCCGTGTCGGGGGTGGAAGTGCATACAAACCGTGCTCCGCCGGGGGGTTATCCCTTGATTCCGCTGCTCCCACTGCTGCTGCTGCTGCTGCTGCTGCTGGAATTGGTGGTGCAATCATGAAATAGGAGACGGTGGTGCGTGGCTGCTGCCCGGACGAAGAGACGGTCGTAGGGACCAACGAGTGGGACGAAGATAGGGAGCGAAAGTAGGAACCAAAGAGAGGAGGGATCCTCTACTAGGGAGATGCAAAATGACAGAGACAGGAATTAAACAGACCGAGACAAAGACAGCGACAGGAAGACACGAGAACGAAAGATGAAGAGGAGAGACACGTAAGAAAAAACGAGAGCTTTTGAATCAAAAGCGGGAATCAAACAAGGGAGAAACAAAGACACCCACTCAGAGAGCCACACGGGAGCTACGAAAGATATATATATGTATGTATGTATGTATAGAACGAGAGCTTGCAGAAAAGCTGGACAGAGAAAAAGTACACGGATCGAAGAGTGATCGAAACAAGGACGCGAATAATACATCTATCTAAAAAGAGAGAGAGAGAAAGAGAGGGAGGGAGAGAGAGAAGCGCAGACGGAACCAGACTGAAAGAGCTTTTGCACAGGGTGAAGCAGCAAGAGAGGGGAGAAGAGAGACGGTGCTAGACCAGCCACCAGAGAGAGAGAAAGAGAACGGGCACGTAAGAGAGAGAGCGCGCGAGAGAGAGAGAGAGAGAGGAGGGAAGCACCGATGGAGGAGGCATTATATACTGGCTGGATCCTCATTCGGCTGCCAGTTTCTCGGCTGTACGCGGCAACGAGTGTTACCTCTGCTCTCGATCAACGATATCTATCCGTGACCTTATCATTTCAAACGAGAATCTTCAGTCGTTTCGAGGAACCGGGAACAGACGATCCTTCTCGAACGGAGCCGCACAGCACGTCGAGCCAAACACACGTCCGAGTGGATTCTCACTCAAACGTTCACGAGGCACACTGCTCGTCGAAGAATAGTCGAAGATAGTTGAGAAGCTGTTTCGCCGTGCGTACACGCGAATCTCGGGGTGAGAGAAAAGAGAGAGAAAGAGAGAAAAGAGAGAGAGAGAGAGAGAGAGAGAGGGAGAGAGAAAGACACACTCTGCAAAGGGTGTACGAGTGAGGTGATATCCTTCGGGGGAGATCGAAGAGGCAAGAACGATGGCCACTTACGCGACCTACAGACACGTCGAGCTCGACAACGTCGGATACGGAAAGAAAAGGTAATGCCTGGGACATACTCGGTTGCTCGTCCGCCTCTTTACCGCACTGCGGCTCCTGTTGTTGGCCATCTCGCTGGACATCCGGTTCGCCACTTCCGTGACACACGCCTTTTTCCTTCTCCTTTTTCCCCGGACGGAACACGTCTCGTCGATCTTTCTCTCTTTTTTTGTTTTTTTTTGTTTTTTTTTCTTCTTTTTTGATAGATCTCGCCGGCTTGATTTAATCGGGTGTACTAGTGTCAGACTGACGATATTTGTGCATCTTCGTCGGATGCTGCAAGGAGGAACTTTTTGGGAATTTCTTTTTCTTTTTTTTTTTTTTTTTTGTTTCCTTTTCATCAATTGGTAGTCTGAGGTGTCTTCCTCTCTGTGGAAGAAATATTGTAGAATTCTTAAGAATATTCTTACGGTAATTTCTTTCAAGAGATTTTTAATTTTCGTGTATACAGGAAATAATGTGAAAGTTGTCGGTTTGGCGAGTGTGGCTCCTCGAATGTCGCGGGGGAAATTGGAAAGAATATTCTGGAAACTCTTTTTAACGCAGTTTTCCTCGTGAGTCGTATGTTTTATCCTTGCTCTTATCAATTGTGACAGGAAACAATGTTGTGTGTATGTTCGACGCGATATTCGTAGTTTTCAAGGACGAAGTTTCTGTGTGCGAAGTTTGTTGTATAATCGGATAAATTGGGAAGAATATTCAGGATATTCATAGGAATATTCTAGAACGTTAGAGTTAATCTAATCAGACGCAGGAGTATCGTGCCTGTGATAGGATTTCTTCGTGAGAAATTTGTCAAAAATGATCGAGAGTGGTTGATTAGAGATGCGAGGCTGGTGTCTGGTCGGCGATCGATCGGCATCTCGCGAGATAGTCCTTGAATGTGTGCTGGTGTCGCCATCGTTCAAAGAATTCTGAAAATCCCAAGTTCAATGTCGAGAATTAATTCTCTCGTTCAAAAGGCCCGAACAATTTCGTTTCTTTCACGGTTATCTCGAAACTGTTTAACCTTCCAACAGCGCGTAATTTCACGCACGCACGCACGCACGCACGCACGCACGCACGCACGATCGCTGTTGGGTCAGATTTGATATTTTATTGGGTCTCTCTTTTTCTTAAACACTCCTTTCGTTCGATGCTTCTTTTTCTTACTTAATTTTATTTAAATACGCAGCGTATCAATTGTTATTCTTTTGCTAAGCATTTCAGCTAAATTACTTCCAATATATAATATGATAAAGAAGAAAAATGTATTTAGAAATATATTGTTACTAACGTAAATATTTGCAATATTTTATCATTAAGTAGTAATATAATAGAAATACAATAAAAAAAGAAAGGAATATTCAGTGGTAGAAATTAAAGAAATTAAAACTAAATCGTTTAATAATCGCTATCTCCAATCGTGTAACGTTACGAGCGAAACTCAGTCGTGCGTATTAATAACGAGAACATTTATATTAAAAAAAAAAAAAAAAGGAAGAGAAAGACCGGAAGCGCTAGAAGAAAAGCAACGAAAGTTACTTTACAGAGACGCGAAGGTCTGAAATGGTAGAGGAAAACGTTAAAGAGTTAGCCATCGGGGCAGTAAAATCGCAAGAAGTAACTATCGTGATTATCCGCGGTGGTAAATATTGAATGTTACCGAAGGCGATCGTTTAAAAGGCGAAGCTTTGCCACGATGGTTTCGCCAGGTTTCACCGCGTGCAATTAGAAAATTCCACGGGGGAAGGATGCGCGACTTCCTGGGAAGAAGAAGCTCCGGCAATTTTTATCACGGTGGAAACCATTTAAGTAATTCCAGAGATAAAGCACTCTGCCTGCGAATACCGCTGTGTGTAACAGTTGTTTATCCTCTTTGTATCGAAAACAACGTGTTTCCATGCTCTCCTAGTCGGTGCGCGTTTTCTAATGTTAAAGAAACAGGAAACCGTGCCGCAGAGAACATTGGAAAACATTGTTCCACTGATTGTTCTTGGAGAAAGAGTTAATAGTTTCGGGATATTTCAAATAGTTAAATCGTGAATTGTTCGAACAGTTCATATTATCGAAATTGATGAAATTTAACGTTGGTAGCCATAAGATTTGGAACGGGGAGCCCGACATTGCTAAATTCTGAAATTTTTAACAAATAAAATTAATTTCGAATTCCTAATAAATGTTTGAAATTTTCATAATACGTGCAAATTATTATAGTCGGTATATTATGAGGGTTAAAAAGTAAATTTCATCCCTTGATTCTTAAATGGCGATGATGGGATTGTTCGGTTGTAGAAGAGAGTAATTATTGTAAAATAAATACACGTTAGTAAAAATATAATAATAATAATAATAATATTTGCATTTTTAATATTGTATTTTCCGTTTGATCGTGCACTAAACTCATTTATTAATTTAATATGAGCAACATTATACAATACAATGAGAAATGTTCTTGGGAAAAATTCAAGATCTCAAAAAGAAATGATATGACAAATATAAATATAAATAATAAACATAATGTAAACATAAATTGTGAAATTTCAATACCCATGTGATTGTGTTTGAGTATTGATAATATCACTGTCCTCGGTAGCATAATAATTAATAGTTCGCCCTTTACTATTTCACAAAGACAAATTTCGAAATAATTTATTTTAGAAATTCTTGGCGCATTAACACGCAAGATTGATCTTCGTGATGTTCTTCGTTGCAGGCGATGATTATTAATTACTAATTGATTACACGATTAATTACGATTATCGAGATAATTTATTTCTCGCGCGATAATTATTAATCATGGGTAATTATGGCCATTTCTTATTTACCATTACTTAAAGTTATACTCGATTCATATTGTATTACAGTTTGTAACTAGTAATGTAATAATGCGTTGGGAATGATTAATAGTTTCGTTACTCTGACTGATCTTATTCTGCAACATTCTCGAGCGCAGATGATAATTACTCGTCGATTAATTATTGTTGCTGCCCCTTACGATTCATTGGTTACGATTTTACACATTATGCACTGTGCGAGTCCTTCGTACGTAACTCATATTTCATTCCTACGTTTCGCAACAAGGAACTTCGAAATGATTCATTGACTTTATTCTCATTTATGTTATAACGTAGCATTAAAATTATAATATCATTAAATGTTATAGCCTCACTTTGTAAAACATGGTTACAGACGATATACTGAATATACGATATATATGTGTTTTCATTAAACTTTGTGTTATAATTTTTTCGTCGCTACAAAATATCGTCTCGGAAAATATTTTCTACAAAGTCTCGTTTATTTTCGCAATTACTGACAGAGTAAATAGATTTCAAGTCTTTGACAAGTCTGTCTCTCTCTCTTTCTCCGGAAGCTCTTTTTTTTGGAGCTTTTTCAGCTCTTTCAGCATCAGAGGAAGCGTGTCTTCACGTGTCAAAAGTGTCGAGGCTGTACCGAAATAGAGGAACAGAGCGAAACAGAGTCGAGTTTAGAAAGCGTGACTGTTATTCCACACTATATATGTACGTGTCTCTGTTTAATATCTTAAACGTCGTGGAAATATTAACCGGCTGATTAGTCGGTAGTTTTTGCTCGTTTCATGGTATTCCACCAGTTCCGAGATAAACTGTATGCTTCATTTTTACGTTATCAAAGTTTCACAACTATCATTCTGATCTATTAACTCTAACTAGCAAAAAGTTATTATTTTCAGTATAATTATTTCGAAGTTTCCTCGAACCTCTTTTAATGAAAAGTACTTTTACTTTTTTACTTTACCATTTTGTGAACATATTCGGGTTTTTTCTTTTTTTAGAAAAATTTATTATGATAAATTCGAAATATTTATGCTCAAGATTTAAACATAACAATTTAGCTTTCCAATAATTTCTCCAATAAGATTTAGATTATAGTAATACATTTAATTCCCAAAAATTAATAGCCTCTAACGATCTCAACAAACAATTTCGACAAATTAATAGTCTCTGGAAATATTTCGAAAAATAAATAAAATGTTCTGTAACGAAATTAAAGTAAACGTTATTGATTAAACGAAGGGTGTCTCTGATGAAATATCATTCATTTCATTTTAATTGGAACGTGTGCTAATTCGATTGTTTTATCTTTCAATGTCACAAGGAAGCTTGATGACAAAAGAAAATTGACGACGACGAAGTGTTTAAACGAAAGATTTCTGCAATTGAGCTTCGTTTAATACGTGGTCAACGCCCTCGGGTAATTGACGTGTACGCGGCTCTTGAACAACTGTAATTACACGGATGTCACCTCCGGCCAGTTCTTCGAGCTTAATTGCCGCCATGATTTTTCCCTGTATATGTGCACACTTTATAAAACACCCACGCGATCTCTTTTATCTAAGTCCAAGTGATAACTCTCTCGTGGAGGTGTTAATCGCCTAGTCAAAAATCTTGCATCGATTTTTTTCGCCGCTTTCGATACTCGCAGGAAGATCTGATCGTCGTGACTTTCGGAGGATAGATCAACGTTGGATAAATAGCTTTTGTATATTTCGAATTTTCTCTCAAGCTTTGCGAATTTCAAATTTTCAAACTTTGCAAATTTTTACATTTTCAAACCTTTCAAACTTTGTAAATTTTAAATTTTCGACCTTTCAAACTTTGCAAATTTTTAATTTTTAATCCTTTCAAACTCTGCAAATTTCAAACTTTGTAAATTTTAAATTTTCTAATTTTCAAACTTTGCAAATTTTTACATTTTCAAACCTTTCAAACTTTGCAAATTTTTAATGTTCAATCCTTTCAAACTTTGCAAATTTTAAATTTTCAAGCCTTTCAAACTTTGTAAATTTTAAATTTTCGAACCTTTCAAACTTTGCAAATTTTTAATTTTCAATCCTTTCAAACTCTGCAAATTTCAAACTTTGTAAATTTTAAATTTTCAAACCCTTCAAACTTTGCAAATTTCAAATTTTGTAATTTTCAAACTTTGTAATTCTCAAAATTTTTCGAAGCTCTGCTAGTTTCAAATTTTGCAAAGGAGG